AGTGGTATGTAGCACTAGGTAGTTTGCTAGACGACTTCTTAGACCTTTTCCGTAAGTGAGCTTGATTGCCTTTGACTCAGGGCACGCCATCGCGTCGTGATCATTTCCTGAAAAAAAATTCCATCCTCAAATACGATACCCCTCCCCGTGCTACATACGACTTTCCTAAATTTTCCTACTACCACTTTTTTCTCGTAAAACTTCCAGTTTTTCAGCCAAGAATTTTCCATCGAGCGAGGAGGGGGTATATACCCAACAGCGCCCGAATATGACCCCCCCTTTATAGCGTCAGCGAAACAAGAGGAATCAACTAGAAAAAATTCTTCTTAGACCAAATACGACCCTCCCCCCGTTGTGATCATCACAATGATGGTGTGCTCTGCTTTAACTGTGGTTCCACTCAGAATCCCTTGGATGAGGTAGGCGCGGCTGCATACTTCGCTGTACTTCTTTCTGTCCAACACTAACAAGATGACAGTTGTCTCGAACTGGAATATCCCACGAGTAACCCATTCAGTGCCATTTTCAAACGCCAGGTCTACTCCGTCTCAGGGATAAGGGGTGTACATGCATATGTAGTGCTCAAGATACTTCCCGTCGCTTGGGAAAACTTCGCAAAATATAACCTCCCTCCCTCTTCTCTGGTACGTCCCCCTTTCCCACCGCCTATCCCATCTACCATTTTCCTCAGCCTCCTACCGCTCTCCGGTTTTTTCTTTTCAAATTTCCTCTACTATTCTTCCCCCAAAAACAGCCTTTGGTCAGTGAGGAAGAGGTAGCTATGTAGCGCCTTGGAACAAGAAAAACTAGGAAAAGGTAACATTCGTAAACATTTTTTTCAAGGGTGAGTACGACTCTCCTACCAGCAGCTACCAACTACGTCTCCCACGCTGGGGATTCGTAGGATAGGATAGGCTGCAAGGAGGATGATTTATTGTTCCAGTTCTAGAAGTTCTGATGATTTCCTGTCTGAGAGTTTTCAACGAAGTCATTTCAGATGGGATACCGCCCGGATTCCCTGCCGTTGATGCTCATCCAACCCTGAAATCTGTTGAGCAGGGACGGACAGCTCATGTAACATGTAGGGTGAGTACCAGTTATTTCCGCTCCGACTCCTTGCAGCTCTATCTTTGATTTTTTTTGACAATTTTTGTAAACTTCCCAACTCGTTCTGTTCTCGAGCAGCACCTATTAATTTCAGTTTTTGGCATTTCTTTCCATTGTAAGTTGAATGCGATTTTTTTCTCCAAGAATTTAGAGGATTCGGGTTGTACGGGAGGCTTGTAGGTCGGTCGCTGAGTTCAAGAAGACGTGTTGCCCACTGAGGACGTAACCGAAGTTTACGTCGCACAGGGGATAGAATCCACGGCCCATTCTCCGTTGGTTGCTGATTTTAGGTCGTACCACCCCCCGCTTCTCCATTCGCCCCACCTCCCCCCTCAGCGGATATTTTATAGGGAGAAAGGTGTATTCCAAAATATTGCTCGCCGCGATAATTGGTTCTGATTCCTGAGATTTGCACTTCGATAACTAAGCCCCAGTTTTCTGTCCTCGTCGCGAGAACACGATAACATCCGCAATCGCGGACGACCTCAAGAAGAAATAAGCACTGTCTTCTGGCCCCATTACCGGCACAGTAGTTCTAAATCTTGAAAGTAGCGATACAAGCGACGACGGTCAAAGTAACACTGAGGAAGTAACACTGAGCAGAGAAGGAAATTCGAAAGCAACCGAATAGGTCTCCTTTCTTCTCCCTGACTGACTTCTTCGAGTAGGAAGTCGCTCATGAAGAAGGAGTCTTTTTGTAGATATACAACAACGGAGTTAGTTTTCTCAAAAATCCAATTTTTGACCAATTACTATGATTAAACTAATTTTGAATATTTT